CACTTTATTTATATAGCACCAAATCACAACAAAGTTGTCTCAGGGCACTTTACAGGAACATTCACATAAAAGCTAATTAGTAAAGTTCTCTATCTAAGGAATCCAGCAGACAAGTTCGTTGCAGTCTCCCATCCTGAGCAAGCACAGTGGCAACAGTAGAAAGGAAAAACTGTTTTAAAAGGAAGAAACCTCCAGCAGAACCAGGCTCAGGACAAGCGGCCATCTGCTTTGACCGGCTGGTTGAGAGGACAGGAAGGAGAGACAGACGAACACAGACTGGTAGGTCCAGGTGTATCTGAAAGACCAAAACACATGTTAAGGATAGAAAAATAATTACAAATACAAAACAGGTAGAGCAGAGTAAGTAAAGACAGTAGCAGAGTGAAAAGTGTGGTCAGTTGTCCTCCAGCAGTCTAAGCCTATAGCAGCATAACTAAGGGACAGCTCAGGAAACCCAAGCCGACCCTAACTATAGGATTTATCAAAAAGGAAAGTCTTAAGCCTAGTTTTAAAACTGGATAATGTGTCAGCCTCACGGACAGAGATTGGAAGTTGGTTCCACAAGAGAGGAGCCTGAAAACTGAAGGATCTGCCTCCCATTCTGTTTTTGTAAATTCTAGGAACCACAAGTAAACCTGCAGCCTGAGAGCGAAGTGCTCTGTTTGGAAAATATAGAACAATAAGATCTGTAATATAAGATGGAGCTAGGTTGTTGAGAGCTTTGTAGGCTAGAAGTAAGATTTTGAATTCTATTCTGGATTTGACAGGGAGCCAATGGAGAGAAACTAAAACTGGATATATATGATCTCTCCTACTAACTCCAGTTAAGACTCTGGCAGCAGCATTTTGGATCAACTGGAGATGTTTTAAAGAAGTATTTGGACATCCAGATAATAAATCATTACAATAGTCCAGTCTAGACGTGACAAATGCATGGACCAGTTTTTCTGGATCATTTTTAAATAAGATGTTTCTAATTTTAGAGATATTACGCAGGTGGAAGAAGGAGGTTCTAGTAAAGTTTTTAATGTGGGTGTTAAAAGACATGTCCTGATCAAAAATAACACCAATATTTTTAACATTAGAGCTGGGGGACAGATTAATGCCATCTAAGGAGGGAGAAAGACTGAAAAATTCATTCCTAAGGTGCTCAGGTCCAAAAACCAAAACCTCAGTCTTGTCTGTGTTCAACAGGAGAAAATTAAGGGTCATCCAGGTTTTTGTCTTTAAGACACGCTTGTAGTCTAGGTAGCTGATTGGATTCATTGGGTTTAATGAACAAATATAACTGTGTGTCATCAGCATAACAATGGAAATGTATCCCATGCTGTTTAATAACTTTACCTAATGGAAGCATATACAGTGCCTTGTGAAAGTATTCAGCCCCCTTGAACTTTTCAACCTTTTGCCACATTTCAGGCTTCAAACATAAAGATATAAAATTTGAATTTTTTGTGAAGAATCAACAACAAGTGGGACACAATCATGAAGTGCAATGAAATTTATTGGATGCGTCAAACTTTTTTAACAAATAAAAAACTGAAAAGTGGGGCGTGTAATATTATTCGGCCCCCTTGTGTTAATACTTTGTAGCGCCGCCTTTTGCTGCAGTTCCAGCTGCAAGTCTCTTGGTGTGTCTCTATCAGTTTTGCACAGAGAGACTGAAATTCTGCCCATTCTTCCTGCAAAACAGCTCGAGCTCAGTGAGGTTGGATGGAGAGCGTTTGTGAACAGCAGTCTTCAGCTCTTTCCACAGATTCTCGATTGGATTCAGGTCTGGACTTGGACTTGGCCATTCCAACACCTGGATACGTTTATTTGTGAACCATTCCATTGTAGATTTGACTTTATGTTTTGGATCATTGTCTTGTTGGAAGATAAATCTCCGTCCCAGTCTCAGGTCTCTTGCAGACTCTAAGACTCAAACATTTGAGGAGTAAACATTTTTAATAATCACTTTAAAAGTTATAAATGTTGTCTTTGGCGCTTGTTTGTTTTCCATATATATTAGTGTGTGTGAATGACAGGCATTAACATAAAACACTTTGAAGTCCATTTCCTTCTATCAGTTGTCCGTCAGTTCTGCCACATCCAATATGGCGGCCACGCCGCCGTACCTCTGCAACGGGCCAGCCCACTCAACCAGGTGTCCACTAAAACTGCCTTACCATTTGTCTGTTGTGAACGCCCTGGCAGATGACAATAGCCAATCAGTGATGGAGAAAGGTCAGGGGAGTTTTGCAATGAAATAATGATGAATGATTGTTTGAAATGTGTTTAATAGGTTAACTCAAAAACTGCAGATCTGATTCCAAATCCACCCAAATTATCCCCACCCGCTCAAAGCAATTTTTACCTGCAAAATCAGAATGAAAACCGCCCAATCTGGCAACACTGGTCAAGAGGCCTTCCTCCCATTTTTCTTAAAGAGACACGCTGCTCGCTCCCTCACTATCCATCCTTCGGTTCAAACAGTCTTATACTGCCATCAGGTGGTCAAAAAAGGCACTACACTCAAAACAAATTAACCAACATTTCTTTTTAAATTTGACAATAATTATTGCCAAATTTCAAACAATATTATCATTTATCGCAATAATTTCTGAGACAATCACTCAGAAAAATTTGTTTTCGTGAAAGGTCTAAAAACAACAAACCCTGAAGTTGTGTTGTGCTCAGTTAATCTGTGGATTGTTCAAATAATTTACACTGGAACACTGAAATAAATATGACATTCATATGCCATATTTATTTGACACATGTAAACACATGTGTGTATGTAAACATATGAACACAGCTGTATTTGTTGTGCTCTTCCTCATCGTGCGAATGTTTATGAAGCATTCACACTGTTGTGATCCATTTTTCTTCCATACGTTTTTCAGCATCGTTCTCATTCCACTGTTTTTGTTTTATTTCAACAAATCATAAATCAAAACGTTCAGCTCTTTCAGGAGAAGGGTGCTATGACTTTTGGTATCGGTGCAACTTTAGCTTTTTGACATATTTAGCCTTTTCTGCCATTTTTTCTCTCATAGAAAATGAATTGAGCTCATTGTACATTCTTAGATCTGTTCACAACCTTTTACTGCTCCTTTCACATTTTGTTCTGCTTCAGCTTCTTTCAGCTTCCTTGTGCAAATAAAAAAATATATCAGCTACTTTCAGCTGTTTTGTGCTCCCTTCAGCTTCTTTCTGCTAACTACGGTACAATTTTTGTGCTTCTTCTAACTTCTTTCAGCTAGCTTCAGCTTTTTCTGCTATTTTAGCAGTTTTATGCTAATTTTAGTTTTTTTTTTTTTAGCAAATTCCACTTAAAAAAAAATTTTTTTTTTTTAGCTCATTTCAACTCTTTCCACTTCCTTTTGGTAATTTAAGCTTCTTTCTGCCTTTTCAGCTATACTTTTCAGCAATTATTTACTTATTTGTTCATTTTTTAGCTAATTTCTTCATTTTTGTGTTTATTTCTACTTATTCAAACCGAATTCAGCAAATATGTGTTCTTTCTTCTTTCTTCTTCTAATTGAGGCTTGTTTGCATTTCATTTACATTTCAGCATTTTTATTTAGCTAATTTCAGCGGTTATTCAGCAAGTTCTTCTGCAATAAGCTTTCACTCTTTCGCAGGAAATGTAATTTCTCTTGTTGTGTGTAGCTGCTGTGCAAGAGCTTTTGATGCTAAACAGACTTTAGTCTCAGTGAAGTCACGTCTTGTTAACAGTTACAGTTCTTGTTCTCACGCTTCTACTGATGACACATCTCTGCTCCTGAATGCAGGACATTTCCTTGCACTGCGTCATTAAGAAACTCCTTCTGCGCCATCTTTTTTACTTTCATAGATCAGTGTGAGTGTGCATGCGTCTCTCACTCTGTCTGCAGAGTCCCTGCTAAAAGTGGCTGCCGAGCTATAACTCTTTCTTGTCATAACAGAAGATAAGTTGCTTCTCTGTAAAGAAGATGTCTTACTCAGAGAAAATATGCAAAGCTTGACCTCTGACCCCCCCCACCCCACCCCGCAGACAGTTGTAAATACATGAATAAACATAAATTGAGTCTGTTTGTTGCACTATAAAACCTAACTTCATGTACATATTTACATACAGTATGCTAAGAAAATATGTTTTCTGTTTTATTATGGATAAAAGAGAATAAGAAGCAAAGCAGTCAACAAAATGCTTCTAAATTCACATCACAGCCTTAATTTAAAAGCCCTCACTGCTTCAAGTCCAATGGCAAGAGCAAGGCAACAATAATGTAAAAAAATGATGAAAAGAGTTGTAGCATAATGTGAACATAATATGCTCAGAATATGTTTGGGAAGGACTTTCAGCCACTACAACACATCATAGCTCAGCATCTGTAACTCTGGGTTACAGCTTTTTTTTTAGTGTTTTCTAAGGTCTGATAATGTGGTGGCTGTCTTAAATGGCTCCAAAAGTCAATCAGCTGGGAATTTACATTAAATGATTATTTCCTGAAAGTTTAATAATAATAATAATAATAATAATAATAATAAAAAAAAATCGTCCAGTAGTTTCACGAGATATTTTGCTAACAGGCAGACAGGCACACAGATGCGCTCAAAACATTGACATCAACACAACTACTGTGCTCGTCTAGACGAGTAGGTCTAGACTGACATCTGCTGGTGGAAAACAGAATTGCATCCATCTTTAATTTAAAGTTAATACACTGTTTTTAAAGACGGGTATCGTTTTTTTTCTACTATTATAATCAAAATAACGTAAATAAGAGTAACGAGGTCACCTATCAGTAAGTGATTAACATTCACGAGTCACTCATTTAAGCGTTTCGTGTGCATTTCGTCAACCTAATGAATGTTTTAGCAAGTCAAATGACCATTGTTTTTCCTCCATCAGAGTCCCCTTGTGTCATCGCTCTGCTTTCTGATTGGTCGCTTTGACCAACGGCCGAGACGGCAGCCAATCAGATGCTTCAGTGTCCAGTTGCCACCCCCCTTTGCGCACGCCTTCTAATGACGTCACGTCCAGCTAACGCGATACTCTTGCTGGACTTTAGAGACAGAGGGGTCGCATATTGCGGTAAAGGAAAAATAAGAAAAAGAAAACGCCGAAAGGAGGAAGGGTTTTGTCGAGCTGATACCCCGACGTCTGTCGACATATTGGAATAGCGTTCGTTTCACGGTAAGCTCTTTAAGGTGCCCGTTATTCGTGTTATTTGGTGAACTCACTGGGTTAGGAGGACACCGAGCTGGACTGGGTTAGGGCCTGCAGGTGCCACATCTGTTTAGCACATCTCTGCAGTCACACAGTTATTATTAAGTGTCATTCATACCCTAACCTAATGATATCCATGATAATAATAGTTTAGAGAAATGGCTTTATTGATACAAGTATACCTCTGCTATTAATTCATATAAAAACCAAATATGACGATAAGCAAGCTGATGCTAGCTTGGTTCTCTTTAATGTGGGGCTTATCGTCACTGTCATTAGTTGTCGTGATTTAGTTTATCTTATCTTTTGGTTGCTCTGAGTGGGTGTTTGTGAAGATAAACGGGCTCCTAATTAAATCCAAAGGGATGTCTTCATATACAGCCATGTCTTTATGTCCCTGGAGTTCATTAAAACCAAACAATAGTTGCTTGGTTACAGATCTGCTCTATGTGTATCTTTCCTACTCCATATCATGTTCCTGTTTATTCAGCTAAAATGGCTGAAATGTGCTGTATGCCTAAATATCTTGTTACTGTTCATGCATTTTCTTACAGTGTCCTTTGAGGTGATTTCCCATGAACTGACCGAGCCTGTTTTTCATTGAATCAGTAATATGATGAGGTTCAGAGGGATTTAGGGCACCCACAGATCATTCAGATGAACCGTCCATGTGTACGCCTGTCGCTGAACATGATATTATCACTGTGATTTTTGTTGTGGAAACATCCTCTGAGCTCGTTCACTGACATCTGTTGTTTCGTTGGAGACAACCAAATGACATGCATGCAAATGGACCCAGAACCAGCCCTGCAGTAAAGATTAATGCAAAAAAAAACCTTTTGTTTTCAGTCAAGAAAAAGGTTAAAAAATATAGATGTTTATATACGGTAAGTGAAATAAAGATGAACTTTGACACTATTGTAAGGCGTCCTTGTTGGTTACAGGTAGGCCTGTCGCAATAAACAATAAATCAATCGCATGATAAATGAAAATTATCAACCTCATTTTCATTTATCGGCTTCATCGTTTCTTCATGTCTCTCTCTTTCTACTGAAGACACTGGACGACAAAAGGCTCACCTCTGGTGCTCCTCACTGCTCCCTTTCTCTTTAAAATCCATTTTAACCGTCCAAAATTGCGTTTTTGGATCGTTAAAAGCAGCTAAGCTGATCAGCTAAGCTACGAGCTAAGGCAACAGGCCGACCTCAAAAAACCTCAGTCTTGTCAAAGCTCCAAAGTTCACGGATGAAACCCGTGCCTTTGTGTAAAACGTTGTTTTTCTCTGCAAAAGGAAGAACTTGTTTACCGATTTTTTTTTTAAAATTAAAAGCTTTGCGTGAAAAATGCTATGCTAAAGAGCTCAAACCACACCAAGCGTCCGCCATTTTGAGAACTGAAAAACAGGAAGGAACAGCACATGTCACGTCAAGGGGCCTCCCTCCCATTTTTCTTAAAGAGACACGCTGCTCGCTCCCTCACTACCCATCCTTCTGTTCAAATAGTCTTATACTGCCATCTGGTGGTAAAAAAACAGGTACTACATGCAAAACTATTCAACCAACATTTCTTCTTAAATTTGACAATAATTACTAATTATTGTCAAATTTCAAGCAATATTATTGTTTATCACAATAATTTCTGGGACAATTAATCGCCCAGCAAAATTTGTTATTGTGACAGGCCTAGTTACAGGTTAATTATTTGAATGGATTGTAATCACCAAAGAAAGAGCCTACTTACAGGAAATAGGGTAAAAAGCTCTGATAACTTTTTCCACAACAGGGATTTTAGTCTTTCCATAGTTCCAAAGGACAAATGAAATTGACACCATTCAGGTGAGCTTTGGGTCAGCTGGTATTGTAAAAGCTGTCTTACCGGTGCATTGAAAATAAATGACTTGGAGTTTCACTGTGACCAAACTTCCAAAGCCTTTGTCGTCATAGGGCTTACACGTTCAGGCACCACACAGTGACGTGTAGTAGATTTAGAAACAGTGTCCTGTTTGTTAGGTTTCATGTTCACACGAGCTTTGCATTTAGAAATAATCTACAACGTATCCTTTCTCCTGGGAGAGTAAATGTCAGTTGCTGCTATTAAACCTTATTATTGCTCATGGTTGAAAGTGAAAAAAGTAAAAAAAAAACAAGCCTGTGTGAGTGCCTGTGTTTTTATGCACTGTCCAGTCTGTCTGTTAGAAAAATATTGTGAACCACTTAACAGATTTTAGCAAAACTCTCAAAGTAGTCGATGACTGTACATCAAGAAATCATTAACATTTGGAATGGACCCAATTCAAGCTGGTCACGACAGCTCATTAAACTTAGCCAACATATACAGGTATAACTATAATTGCCAAGTTCACCAATTTAGAAAATTTGGCATGCCAGTAACAGCACGGTGGCACATTTGGAAGAGCTGCCACCTCTCCAGTGAGAAGGTTGCTGGATCGAATCCCGGCCGGGGACTATTCTGGGTGGAGTTTGCATGTTCTCTCCGTGCATGTGTGGGTTTTCTCCGGGTACTCCGGTTTCCTCTCACAGACCAAAAACATGCATGTTAGGCTGATGGGTGACTCTAAATTGTCCCTAGATGTGAGCCCAAGCCCGAATTTCTGGTCGGGTCGGGCCAAAATGATGTGCTTGATGGGCGGGCCAGGTCAGTCTCGGGCTTTTGATGCTTTTTTAAAATGGGAGAACTCACTCTACATAGCCAGCACAGTGAAACCTGCTGATGTGTGTCAGGTAAGGTGCACGTTCAGGTCCGACCAGCCGGTTGAAAGAGGTTAAAAAAAAAAGTCTTACGTTTTAGATGGATCACCAGATCATCGGTCGCACACGTCTGCTGATCAGCCGGATGGATCACCGGCCGCGCGCGCCCAGCTCCGCACCCTGCCGTCATCTGCAGTGAAGGAAGTAGCAGCATCTACAAAATAATAATAAATATTTTTGTTCCGTCTGTATAATAGCCTATGTTTAGAGCAGATTTTTTTAGGCTATTGGTTTTGTATGCTAATATCCATTTGGTGACTTGTTAATAAACAAGAAATTTTATATCTTCCTTTCTTTGAAATATGTTTTCAAAATATCATGTCAAACTGATTTGCTTACAAAAGCAGCAAAAGCTTAATAAAAAAAAGTATATATATTTTGGGGTTCGGGTCTGTAATTACAGGCAAATTGGTGGGTCGGGTCGTGCTCTGAAAACATGGCCACTGGCTGGTGTCGGGTCGGGTTGTTTAGACCCGAATACAACTCTACTGTTGAATGCAATCAAACTAATATAAACTAATATAACTAATATACTAAACTAGTATTAACTAAACTAATATAAAAAGGTCTTTATACTTAAAATGCAGATAATTCAATATCAGTTTTTCTACTCCAGATACGCACTAAGAAATTAAATGATGTGTGTGTGTGTGTGGCAGATTGCCCTAAATCAGTTTTCTGTTCCAGTGATTGTTGCTTTCGTCTCTGAGGTTTTGACGGTTGGGGCAGATGAGCAGAAAAGAGGGTTTACAGTGTACATAAGACATGACTGAGACATCCTTGGAGGACCGGCAGTGTTTCAGCTCTCAGTCCAGAACATTTTCCATTGTTGTTATTCATGAGCAGGCTTGCATGGTGGTTTGTGATGCATTTGTCTCATCACAAAACATTAGCTGGTTGTGAAATTCACTTTGTTTTAATGAGGTCTAAAGTGGAACAGATAACCTTCAGGCACTGAGAGCATCATGGGCACTTTTTTATTTCAGCGTGATGGCTTAAAGATTAAACCTGGAAGCAGTTTCCCCATCATGTAGGTTTCACACACACCTCTTCCAACATGAGTGTGTGATCTGGTGTGGCTTGTCACATTTGTGTGTGACTGAGGAGGAAAACAAAGTGTGAAAACAATTGGTACAGACATGTCTACTCACAACATTACCCACCTTCTTTCTTTTATTTGATTTACTTGGGTTCATTTCATCAACCTCATCTGGAGCTGTATGAAAGGTGTGTGTGTGAACCATAAGATAATAGTACTCTTCTCTGGATGGGTTGTCATTGATCGCTGAATCGAGAGTCACCGTCTGCAAACAACAATCCGCTGTAGTTTTTCTTTGCTTCGTCACTCTTGTTTCTCTCATGATTTTATAGAGAAGTGAACTGGGGAGAGACACGCGCAGGGTAAACTAGTTAACAATAAAATGTGACAACTTCATTTTCGTCCTTTCTCAAGAAAGATGTCTCATCTGTGGTGAAAGGAATTCGTTATCTAACGCGCCTCTGGAGGTGACTTTTATCTTCCAAAGTGAAAAAGGGCAAAGGTGAACGGGACGTTTGGTTTGTTGGCTGTAAATTATGGACAAGATGTCAACATGTCTCTCTTACATTACATCTTGTCACTGAAAATCAGGTTGGTGTTAATTAGAGTTGGACCAGTCATAGTTTTCTAGACTCATTCCAGTTTCTACCTTTTGTTGAGCTCCAACTTGCCAGTTTCAGTTTCTATCTCAGAACAATAAACAACAACAGACCTTTTTTCTGATTTCTGTTTGAATTGGACATTTGTCTGTGTTTATAACAGTAAGTTTAGAGAAAAAAAAACAATTACATTTTCTCCAAGGTTACAGAGCTTTCTTCGTCTGTGACTACATTTCAGCCTGCATGATATTAGAGAAACATAGCAAAACAATATATATGTTTTTATTTTTTACTTTATTAATCAATACATTGTGCAATCATAGCATATATGTAAAAGTAACATTTGCTGCATTGCACAACATTTAGACTTGGGCTCATTTTCATCTGAATATTATTATCATATTGAATATTGTGAAGAAAACGTCAACATTATGAGTTAAACTCGCATGTCCTGTCCACAGTGTTCACAGCACTCGCTTGTGAGTCCATCCGATTGCCAAATTTATATTTTTAGCATTCATTTTGTTGAATTCTTTGCAAAGTTGATTGTATTCACAGTTGCACACTTTTCTTTCATCATTTACCGGTATACGTGTTAGCTATATTGTGCAACAACCCTATTGCAAATTATAAATGATACAAGTACCAATCCTCCAGGTTTTTGGGCAGAGGAATTTGTGCAAAGAAAACTCATGTACTCTTTACAATCCAGTTTGTAGATCCTTAATATTTTACATACTTTTGCACACCTCAAAGCATAAAAGTGCATCAGTTGAACACTTTGTCGCCAGTTTAGGTGGAAGCTGGGATATGGAGGAAAACAAAAGCCTGAATAGTGAAGTAGCAGCAGACGTCTGTAGAAAATTTAGTTTCTATTGAGTATACTCTTAAATCTCTTGTGCGTCCTCTGACTTTATAGTTAAACACATAATAGATGTTACAAATAGTCATCTATCTTCATCCACTAAAAATCTTTACAACTAAGATGTGCTAGCATGATTTAGCTGCTTAGAAACTGTACATTCACTAACAAAAAAAAAAAAAAAAAATCAAGAATTTTTGATTGGTCACTATGCATAGACATTCATTTATTTATTTTCTGGACTTCAAGAGTCCCTATTTATGCTGTCACTTCTATGCTTCTTATTTTAAAGTGACCCTTCAACCCAGAGATGAATTTCGAACAGCCCCCTCCGTATCCAGGCAATGTCCCAACAGCTCCGGGCTACCCAGCGCAAGGCCCACCTCCACAAGGTTACCCTCCTCAAGGTTATCCTCCACAGGGGTATCCTGTGAACATGGAACAGCCCAATCCAGCTTACCCTAACTACCCTCCTGGACCAATGGGACCTGGAGGTCCATATCCTGGCCCTGGACAGCCTCCTTATGGATATCCCGGTCAACCACAGTACGGCTGGCAGGGTGGACCCCCTCCTGGGCCCATGTATGGAGAAGCACCAAAAAACACAGGTGAGTGTGAAAAGAGACGTTTATGTCGTGAATATAGGTGTGCAGGAGGTGTCTCATACCTCTGATGGCATTAAAAATACTTTGTTTATTAGACTGGGAATACAGCCGAATCAGGAGGCTGCAAGTCAATTATCACGACCAGTAATACTGGCCAAGCTACTTTTACTGCTACCAATCTGTTCTGTTAACTTCTGTGACTAACAAGGTTGAGTCAGGTCCTCTGGATGAATTCTTCTTTGGTGAAACGTTTTTGTCTTTTATCCAAAAGACTTCTTCAGTCTGAGGAGCTGCAACAAACTTTGTCTTATAAATGACACCTTATCATGGTGGATCAACCAGTTTGCTGGTGACAGACAAAACTAGTTCACATGCAAAAAGAGCACCATCAGCCTAACAATCGATTGTTAGTGCCCCGGTGGCCACTCGCTATTCACAGAACTTGCTAATATCTGTGACTAGTTATTCAGATGACTTTATTTATGCTTGGAAAATATACCAGATCATAAAAAGGCAGTGTTAGCTGGAAATATAATTTTTATGCAACAGTGCACTACTAATTGGTCCTTCCTTTTCTGACGATCCAGTTGAATTAGTACATCCAAATGAAATATGTATGAAAATTTAAAAGAAACCAAGGCTGGCAAAAATGTTTTCTAACTCTTGGTACAGAATTTTCTTTAGGTTCATTTACACAGTACAAAAATCCACAAACTCAGTGATACATGTGATTTTATCATAGGTATTATCAGTAGTAAAACTATATTTAGCTTTTTCATCACATCAGTTGCACCTGATCAACTCTTCTTCTTTCGGCTTTTCTCTCTTCAGGGGTCGCCACAGCGAGTCATCCATTTCACTCTGTCCTCTACATCCGCTGTCTTCACTCCAGCTACCACAATGTCCACTTTTAACTGCATCCATATACAAACCGGATTCCAAAAAAGTTGGGACACTAAACAAATTGTGAATAAAAACTGAATGCAATGATGTGGAGGTACCAACATCTAATATTTGATTCAGAATAGAACACAAATCACAGATCAAAAGTTTAAACTGAGAGAATGTATCATTTTAAGGGAAAAATCTGTTGTTTCCAAATTTCATGGCGTCAACAAATCCCAAAAAATTTGGGACAAGTCCATTTTTACCACTGTGTGGCATCCCCCCTTCTTCTTACAACACTCAACAGACGTCTGGGGACAGAGGAGACCAGTTTCTCAAGTTTATAAATGGGAATGCTCTCTCATTCATGTCTAATACAGGCCTCTAACTGTTCAATCGTCTTGGGCCTTCTTTGTCGCACCTTCCTCTTTATGATGCGCCAAATGTTCTCTATAGGTGAAAAATCTGGACTGCAGGCTGGCCATTTCAGTACCCGGATCCTTCTCCTACGTAGCCATGATGTTGTGATTGCTGCAGAATGTGGTCTGGCATTATCGTGTTGAAAAATGCAGGGTCTTCCCTGAAAGAGATGACGTCTAGATGGGAGCATATGTTGTTCTAGAACCTGAACATAGTTCTCTGCATTAATGGTGCCTTTCCAGACATGCAAGGTGCCCATGCCACAAGCGCTCATGCAACCCCATACCATCAGTGATGCAGGCTTCTGAGCGGAGCGTTGATAACAACTTGGGCTATCCTTGTCCTGTCTGGTCTGGATGACATGGCGTCCCAGTGTTCCATAAAGAACTTCAAATCGTGACTCATCTGACCACAGAACAGTCTTCCATTTTGCCACACTCCATTTTAAATGACCCCTGGTCCAGTGCAAACGTCTGAGCTTGTGGAGCTTGCTTAGAAATGGCTTCCTCTTTGCACTGTAGAGTTTCAGCTGGCAACGACGGATGGCACGGTGGATTGTGTTCACTGACAATGCTTCCTGGAAGTATTCCTGAGCCCATTCTGTTATTTCCTTGACAGTGGCATTCCTGTTTGAGGTGCAGTGATGTTTAAGGGCCCGGAGATCACGAGCATCCAGTAGAGTTTTACGGCCTTGACCCTTACGCACAGCGATTGTTCCAGATTCTCTGAATCTTTTGATGATGTTATGCACGGTTGATGATGATAACTAAAAAGTCTTTGCTATTTTACGCTGGGTAACACCATTCTGGTATTGCTGCACTATCTTTCTGCGCAACAATGGTTGAATTGGTGATCCTCTTACCATCTTGGCTTCTGAGAGACACTGACACTCTGAGAAGCTCTTTTTATACCCAATCATGTTGTCAATTGACCTAATTAGTGTTAATTGGTCTTCCAGCTTTTCGTTATATGCTCAATTTCCTTTTTCCATTCACTTATTGCTACTTGTCCCAACTTTTTTGGGATTTGTTGACACTGTGAAATTTTGAATCAACATATTTTTCCTTTAAAATGTTACATTTACTCAGATTAAACTTTTGATCTGTCATCTATGTTATATTACAAATAAAATATTGACATTTGCCATCTCCACATCATTGCATTCAGTTTTTATTCACAATTTGTTTAGTGTCCCAACTTTTTTGGAATCTGGTTTGTACATGTATGGCTGCCTTCTTTATTTTTTTTCCTGGCAGCTGCATTTCTAACATTCTTCTACCAATATACCAACTGTCCCTCCTTTCAATGTCATCCGCAAGCATCATAGTCCACGGGGATTCCTGCCTGACCTCATTTGATAGTTGGTTCATCACCAGAGCAAACAAGAAGGGGCTCAGAACCGATCCTTGATGCCATCCCACCTCCACCTTGAAGCTATCCGTCACTCCTACAGCACATCTTACCACTGTCCTGCTGTCCTCATACATGTGCTGTATCAGTCTAACATACTTCTCTGCCACTCCAGATTTTCTCATGCAATGCCACTCCTCCTCCCTTGGCACCCTTTTATAAACTTTTTCTGAATCCACAAAGATAGAGTTTTAGACAGATCTTCATTGTGTAGCTCATCCGTGTAATTCCCCTGTAGTTGCTACAACTCTGTACATCACCATGTTCTTAAAAATGGACATCAGCATAGTTCTCCATTCCTCAAGCATTTTCTCACCTTCAAATATACCATTGAATATTTAAATCAAAAACCTCACTGCCATCTCTCCAAGACATTTCCAAACCTTCACTGGTATGGTCACTTCAGGTCCTACTGCTTTCCCCTTCTTTATTCTTTTCAGAGCTTTCTGGACTTCACCCTCACTAATTTTTCCCACTTTCTGGTCCTCAAAAGCTTACTTTTGAGATTTCAACAGGAGGTTGGCTTGAAACAAAGCAGTTGAGGCAACCTATGTGTTAAGAAGCACTAATTCTTCCTTAACTTGTCTATTTTAGTTCCAGAGTGTGGGATTGAACATTTTGTTGGGTGCCAAAGTACTACTGTAATGTTTGTTACCATGTGGGTGTGTTCTCTGTGGCAGCCATCTTGTGTTCCAGCTAAAGAGGAAGCCCACCTCAAATCCATCTCTTTTATAGGAAGTGAGCTGATGAGAGCAGGAGTTTGATTGGTTGAGAATTAAAAGAAAGCCACAGTAATTAATTAAAAGAATAAACTGAATTGTAAATTGTGCATCTGTGGACATGAAATGTTTGCTTAGTATTTCTTTACCAATAAATAATTGTTAATGTTTAGATTATTTTTGTGATAGTGAACTTTGTTGTTTTTCCATTCTGGAAGGCTGAGATGACTGGCCAATTTGAATTGAAGTTGAATTGAAGACAGGGTCTGACTGGGTATATATATGGGTGGACTGCTGAATGTACGAGAGTCTGATGGAAGGCTTGTCATTTTGGGAGCCTATGTTTTTGTGATGCCTGGAAAACAATAAACCAACCTTGTTTGCTGCACAGACAAAACAGACGGATGTTCCCTCTTTTCCACACGACACCTCTGTGCAACACTATGGTACCAACCTCTGGTTGGCAGGATCGAGGAAGTCCTCTGGATGGGGGACGAAACGTTTCTCACTTAAAGAAACTGGTCCAGATGACACCATTTAACCTTTTTTGTTGTCTAACTGGATGATTGAGCTTACAACCCTTTTTCCTGGTCCACAGTTTCTATGACCTCTACTCTTCTTTCTCTTTCATTCTCTTCATTCACTGGCTCCTCAAAGTACTACTTCCATCTTCACCAGCATACTTCCATCTTCCCGTCACCCTCTCCTCACTTTTTAGAACATTACCATTCCTAACTTTAACAAGCCTAATCTGTTACACATCATTTCCAGCCTGATCTCTTTGTCTTGCCAATTGGTACAAGTCCTTGTTCTTGCCTTCTTTAGTGTCCAGACTCCCATACAACTCATCATACTGTATGCCTTCTGCTTTGCCTTTGCTACCTCCCTCTTTGCTCTACATTGCATCTCCTTATATTCCTGTCACCTCTCTTCAGTCCTCTCACTGTCATATTTCTTATGACACCTTATCAACTCTAAATACAGAAATTTATTAAGTGGCTCCTGTTTCTGTGTGTTAATTTTGCAGACCCAAGTCCTAGCATTCCTTGAATGAATGCATTGAATTGACTTTATTCAAGGATTCAAGGTTCTTTATTTCCTGATGCATGCTCAAGGTCCTTTATTGTCTTTCACATCACATGTGGTACATGAGGTGGAACAAAATTGTGTACACAGGGTCCCAGTTACATCCAACAGTATCAAAAATATTAAGTGTAAAAAGCAACAGTAAATAAGGATCTAAGATATCAACTAAGATATACGCTAAACAAATGCCCAATGGTGTGCTAGAAGATCTAAGATACGCTAGTCACTAATAGTGCAAAACAGTACACCGAACAAGAGCAGCACGGTTCTCATACGTTCGGTTCGGCTATAATTTACACGCTTAATGCGAGAGGATTCGGGCTCGGAGCTGACCACAAAACTAATATAAACTGGGATTTATTCAAAGCATGCAATAAAAATACAGAAACAAGGTGCCAAAAGTGAAAAATAAATAAATCTATAACAGCACGCTCCTATTGGCAGAGTGGTTCTGATGACAGTGAGGTTATCTTAACAACATGG